ATTGTATAATAGGTTTGTAGCTTCTTTGAACATTCCATTCACATTTCCATATTTAGAGGACAAAATTATGGGTCCTGTCTATCAGATTATTTCATGCAATCAAAGTGAACCTTTTAATTCATGGAATATTCAGTTGTGTCTCTTCATGAAAAACTTGTTGTATTAGCATGGTTTTCTGTATTTGTGTGGTTTTTAGCTTATCTAGTCTATTTATTTATTGTATTGGTAGTCTTAAGCAAAAGAATTAATGATTTTTTGATATTATGGACTGTTTATCTATATCAATACAGAAAAGAATTGTGCTTAACATGGTTAAATGAGCGAAAAGAAAGATTAAAATTACAGAATGAAATATCATCCGAGGAATCTAAAGATTCGATCAGAAATAATATTTTGAACAAAGTAAATCATGTAAAGAAGGCTAATAATATTAAAATAGTTATAAGTCAATAATATATTAATTTTTAAATATGATTCTAAAATGTTTAAAAAATTACCCTAGTGCAATCTTATTATTAGGTATATATTTGTATATTAATCTAAAATAAATATTTTAATCATTATATTTGTTACTTATACATAGCTATAAAAATTTGCAGCAACAAATTCTTACTAAGTAACTTAAAAAATTTTATATTTGCATTAGGTTTAACTACTTTGAAAATTAAATATAAATTTAATATATTAAACTACTAGAACTAGTTCAGTTTAGATGGTAAAATCGAACCGGTTTAACATTCCTAATTTGTAAATTTGACAATAATATTTTATTAAATAATTATATTAGTTGTATGAATTATTTACTATATGAACTTGTTTATAAAGATACCACTGTCTCTCTACACTTATTAAATAAAATAATTATTTATTCATTCAACATTAGTATTAGATTCCTCTTCATGATGTACTAAATTCAGGCGATGTCTGGCACCCAACCTGAAATGATGATAAACTTGATTTTGTCTACCACTGTATAAATTTTAATTAATAGAAGTTCATTATTAAAGATAAAATAAATTGTGACTAATAAATGACCAATAAAAATG